CTTGTTGGCTTTGCGCTGACAGCAAATCCATGCAAAGATGGAAACACTGAAGACCAGGCCAAACACACTCACCACTGCCACGCTCACAGGAACCTCCGCTATGTATAAAAAAGGAAATTGAGAGAAAAATACCAATAATTTATTTATTTATTTTATAGATGTATGTAGACTTACTGTTGCCATGAGATATTAAAACACCTTCAACCAGGAAAAGAATAGAGAGATTATATAAAGTTATTTGCATCTGAAGTACAATGGCACTCTTTCGTCACCGAACAAGGTCTCAGGAGGACACTGTCTATTAAGCGATAACTATTATACCATTTACAAAGAACTGTACATTTCGAGTGCAGTAGTGTCTGTGAATCTGGAAATTTCCGTTTTCATGGTGGGTGCAGCACCTCTCCAATGAATTAGCTAAGGTGCCCTGTCAGTCTTTTGTTTTCCTCTCAGAAAACAAATCTCGTACTCTTCTGTGACTAACGTTATCAGCGAAAGCTTCTGACAAACATGCTAACGCGTTTCAAACATTTTCATACACCAGTGATGTCATAGGCTACTAATAGAGCACGCGCCTATTAATGCTTATGCTCGCGCATCAGGGAAAAGCTGCGTTACTGTTAATGAGCCACGTTTCCAAAAATGTAACAACAGTTCTTTAACCATTCACAAATACGACGTGTTCACCGAAAATGATAAATAACAATTTACTCACCGATATGTGCTTCTTCGGTCGTCACTGGTGCCATTGTATGCGTGCGTTCTGTCCAAGGTCCTGAAAAGATGCTTTCAGCTCGCGCCGCCTCTCACGATTCTTCACCGCGCGTTAAACTCGCCCGTCTTTCGCTTCAGGCGGAAAGAGACACAAGACTGAATAATTTAATGGTTGTAGTAGATAAAAAATGTACGCTTGTTTATTGTTGTTCCAAAATAAACAGAATAAGCCAGATTTCCCCCCTTTCCCAGAGGTTTCCTCACACCCGCCCAGTGCTGATACTCGCTGCGCTATGAGTCTGCCTGACAAGCGACGCCTCCCCAATCCCCTCCCCTCCGCTCCCCTCCCCTCCCCTCCGCTCCCCTCCGGTGAGTTCATCGCTTCTGACGCAGTCCTGACGAACAAAGTGCCTGAAATCACTGCCCTGCGCTCTGATACCGAACACACTCCTGTTACTCATTGTGATTGCCCAGGGTTTATGGTGTCTGTGTGCTTTCAAACGTATCTGAAGAGGTCCAGGTGATATGGTCCTTGTTGTGGTTTTATTAACGGGAAGGACTGAGCTGATGACTCTTAATTTCTTTGCTAAAGTGCACACCAATTCACAAATCACGGGCCCATGCAACGATTAATAAATGAACTAATTTATTTTATGTTTCCTGGAAGTGACATTTGATCATAATAACGTGGGTAATAAAACGGTCTGTCTCAATAAATATCAGTAATATGACCTAAACTTCTCTGGTTGCGCAAACTAATAGTGGACTTGTTTGTGTTTTGTTCTTTTGCCATATGGTCTGACGTCTTTTAAGCCCTTATTTAATTCTTTATAAGTTTGTCATTGTCCCTGTCTTCTACATGTTCCTGTCCTTATTTAACATCTATTGAATACTCATGCTCATCAACATAAATCTGTCTCAAATCCAAAGAGATATTCTTTATAAAAGTTAAAAGTCAGCCACGCCTACCTAAAACGGCTCCTTCTAACACGCCCCCACATACTTACGTCACTATGTGGGAAGATATGCATAACGCCACCCAAATGTTCACGCAAAGAAAGAAGGCGTAACTTTTATTCTCGCTGTAGTATTGTTGACGCTGCAGCCATGTCGTGAAAACACTGTGTGTTTAGTTGTGAAAGCGAAACTACTTTGTTTGGCCTTCCAAAAGAGGACGATATCTGCTTCGTCATGCCTGGAGCTGATCCGTGCTGGTTGCTGAGGAAATACTACAACTTTGCGCTGTGGATCACCGGATTGGCTTTCACCGTGGACGAAGCGGAGTCCAGCCCGGGGTCGTCACATGTGGTTGCCACAAGCCCACTGGACGCTCCTTCGTCGAATCCGCCGCCTCTGCTCACTCTAGCCCTCCAGCCGTTCCTCACTTTATCACCCGGCCTCTGCTCACTGTAGGCCGCTGTGTGTGACGATGTGTTTCATTGTGAAAGCTAAACTACTTTGTTTGGCCTTCCAAAAATGGACACGACTAGAAATCAGTGGTTAAGTTGTATTTACAACACTGTTCCAGAACACTTCAACCCAAATATTCAGATGTTTCAGAACGCCTAAAAAGACAGTATAAGTCATTATAATATATAAAAATGTCCCCACTGGATGCAACGAATGCCTCGTTTATAATGAATTTTCATGTTTTTGAATCGTCGCTCTGGCCGGACAGGGCATTATCACAATATGGTAGGGGCGTAACATTTCCGTCACACGCTTGAGGTATTCGGCCAATCACAACGCACTGGATAACTGGCCAATCAGAGCACACCTCGCTTTTCAGACCGATGAGCTTTGTAAAAATCGACGCGTTTCAGAAAGGCGGGGCATAGAGGAGAAACAATAATGTACAGTATGTGGAAAATAATGTGTTTTTTTAACCTTTTAGCAACATCATATGACCCCTTTAAGCACACAGATCTTAAAACATCTGGAATCACAAAACTGATATGCAGTTAGCCTAATTATTTTAATCTACTGACACTCCTAGTTCTTGTTCATAAAAAAGCTTTTTCATAATTACAGAAAGGATATAAAAGAAAATGTCCTAGCCTAGAGAGACAATGGATGAATTGGGGTCAAAAGTTTGAAAACCACTGGTTTAAATGAAGCCAGATGAACACTTTTATTTGCCATTGATTCTAACTTGATACTAATTTCAGCCTCAAATCATCATCAGCATGCATTCAGTTCCTGGATTACCTTATCAACAGAACCTCCAGACACTGTATTAGTAGCCAAAATATTTTGCGGGTAAGCAGCTTGGTGTAACATAGTTTTTCTTGGTACAGAATTTATAGTAATTTTAAACTAAACACTTACAGGTATAGTCTGCCTGAAGCAACCTACACTCAAGGGCATTGCTCATTGCTCACTCTCTGACTCAATCAGTAGCCTTTTGATTAGTAAAACTACCACTGACTTTAGTCAGGGTACACATTCTATTTCATTTTTGTGCAAGAAAACAAGGCTGATGTACAATCTGTTGTTATTGTCACACCATATGTTTTCCAGAGTTGTTGGTTATCAAGATTTTTTTATTATTATTATTTATTATTATTTTTATTTTTTTTATTTTTGTATTTTCAGTGTTGCGTTAGCTGAGCAATCAACAGCAAGTTAAAAACATTTCAACCCAAAAAACTAATTATATTTGGTGTGTACGCTGACTAAGGTACACACATCTACTTCATTTTTTCATAGTACTTAATCAGTTTTGTTGTGGTGTGAGAAACAGAAAATTTTCAATGAAAATATTCAGTGTCAAAGACCTCTCTTACTTTTATGAGAAACTGTACTTTTACGGATAAAAGTACTTTCACTTTTGTGCAATAATTTGCTTATATTTTGACCAAATTTTAAAGTTGCTCATTTAAAAATGTACGCGTTGCTATGCTAATTAAAAAAACAAACAAACTTTATAGCACTTTTTATTTATTTTTGTAGCTGTTTCTTATATGCGTAATTATACAATGTTCAATATTTGCATATTAACTAAAATGCATGTATAATGTTAATTTCAATAATACAAAACAGTAGCATTAATATTAGCAGTAGGAAGAGCAGGCGCGAAAGTACCATTTTTCAGAAAAACATAATTTTAAAAGATTAGACAGATATATAGCACAAGTGCGGTCTATCAATACCAGAAGCTATTTTGTACAAATGTAGAACGACTTCAGTATAATTTCACTTTGAGCATTGGTTGCATAGGCCTATTGTTACTTTCGACCCCATCAGTTGGGATGAAAGTAATCAATACAAGCTAGATTTAAAAAAATCTAAAAGGTGTGCATTATAACTGAGAACTACATGAACACTTCACAGATGGTTGTATTACTGTAAGTAATTTACCTCAAATGCTATTGAAGTTAGAAAAGTGTATACCAATATCGTATGTAACTTTAGAGACGGTCCCTAGATTTGAGAATATCGAATGCCCGGAAATGACGCCTCTGGGCATTCCACTGGGTCGTTTGTAAAGTCACAGATACTGTACGGACAATACAGCTCAATTTTTCTATGTATCTTGCTCTGTCGAACGGCAAAATGACTTTACTAGGCTATACTGGATTTACACCATGCATCTCCTGTCAGCGGGAAAGCCGCGCCCCCAGCTATCACAAGACCCGACCAAGCCCATGGTTGACACCCTCTCATTAGCATGTTGTGCAGAGGAAAAGTAAATGCGGAACTACATTCAGAAATAAAAGAGTGATCAAAGGAAAATAAATAGGATGAGTTTAGCATTTCCTTAAACATTTTCCATTTTCCCACTAATTAATTTTATTTATTTGCCTACTTTAATCACGTTTAATTATTTATATATGTATTTAAACAAGAATACGTGTATTTATACACACATTTATTTAAATGTAATTATTTTTAATTTCTGCAGGTTTCGTCCTCCATAGAAGCGCCCCCAATAACGTGATATTTAGCCCATGGAATGCGAATTTTACTGGAGGAACCCTTGAAACGCGATTGGGCCAGTTTAGTTTTGAGTAGCAATTGTGCGGGTTTTGTTCTGAAAACCTGGCAACCCTGATGGCCAGCGCCTCGCGCTCTTTCTCTGGGTCGTTTGGGCGACACTGACATCTGCTGGGGGATTTGTTAACTCATACGTTCTCCCAACCATGATTTCACTAAGAACTTATATAACATTTCCAAACACATTCAAAGAGATAATGACCAGATTAAAACATCGGTGGACCCTCAAAATGCATCACTGGCTCAGCGTTTAATTATGTCTCATCACTTTTATTGTGCAGGCCGCGCTCGTGCGTAAGAGCAGCGGGCGCATGCGTGAAGAGGAAGAGCCGTGAGTCTCTCCAAAATGGCGATGACCATAGAGAGTGGCAATGCAGGAGCTGCAAATAAGAAAAAACACCTCGGAATCCCCGAAGCAATATTTGTGGTCAGTGGGAATATGGAATATAGTTCATTTTCACGTTCCGTGCTGTCGATAGTTTCCCGTTAAAGCTGTGTTGGTCTTTAAACGGCTTTCTTAAGTAGAAAGCGCCCTGCTCTTCTCCTTATAAGGCTGCAGCCTTTGCTTGCTCTTGTCGGTGCAGTGAGCTTTGGGTGACAGATAACACACGATTAACCAGTATTTAAGTACTTAATAGGATGTAATTCATTTAGGAAGCCCATAAGATGTCGTTAATGAGATGTGAACTGTCACTGTGGTTCTGTAGGAAGATGTGGATGCCTTCATGAAGCAGCCGGGCAATGACACAGCAGACGCCGTGCTGAGGAAGCTGGATGAACAGTATCAGAAATATAAATATATGGAGCTCAATCTGGCTCAGAAGAAACTCAGGTTTGTTTATAGTCTATTCTACGCTGTGAAGTAATAGGCAATGATCAGTTCCTGTGTCAATGCTAAAGGATGCTCTTCCTATAAAGACAATATAAGGAACAAATAAACAGCGATTTACTGCCGCGTTTAAAAAATCAGATTCATTACTCAGAGTAAGCATAAAATATTGTCGCTAGTTCCACTTGACTGATATTTTTTTGTTTTGTTTTAGGTTGAAAAGCCAGATCCCACAAATCAAACAAACTTTAGAAATCCTAAGGCACATGCAGAAAAAGAAGGTGAGGCTATCACAATTTTTAACTCCCATATCTCCATATATGCAAATTGATGTAGGGAAGCAACTCTAATGCCTAAAAATGTGTTTTGTTCTCTGTTACTTTTTATTACCTCTCACACTCTCTCATCTCTTAATTTTCTGTTTTCCTGTTCTTAATTATGAATGTCCAATCACAGGACACTACAGATCCCATGGAGACACATTTTCTGTTGGCTGATAACGTCTATTGCAAAGCCTCTGTCCCACCCACAGATAAAGTGTGTTTGTGGCTTGGGGTAAGTGTTGACTACTGTGTTTCATTGTATTAATAGTCAACATGAAATATAAAATTTATCATAATTACTCTCTTAACCACCTGTTATATCTACAGAGACAGATGATTTACAGACAGATAAAATCAAGTGCAATTCTAATTCTATCACCAGCCTGGGTCAATGAGAAATACATCACAATATGGAAGTAAAACGACTCGAGATGTGACTTAAAATTTTTGACATTTTGAATATTTAAAGCATTGATGTTTACTGCCTATAGTTTTTGCTCTTTGGACTATTGTGCAGCTCAGTTGTTGTAAGAGGGTAGGTAGGGGATTGTACAGCTTGTGCTCCTCATGAACTGATGAAACCGTTTGCGTGATTAGCAGTGTATCACATGCCTGTCTATAGTTTGTCTGTAGTTTTGAATTACATTTGGTTTTGTAACAGCTTGGTTGTTAATTGGAAATTCAGTCCAAATTGGAGCAACTTGAGAACTAAAGAGTTACAGAAACCCTGTTTGCACTGTTGAGCAAGGCACTTCCTTTTGGACTGTCTGTTTATTAAAATGTACATTCAATTGCTTGGAATTGGATACAATATTTATGCTAAATGGCTTCTCACTCAAATAGCCTATTGGGCTTAAAAAAATCGTTAATTGATATAATGACAAACTAGCTTACAGCTGTGGTTTTTGTGTTTGTGTAACAGGCTAATGTCATGTTGGAGTATGATATTGATGAGGCCCAGGCGCTGTTGGAAAAAAACTTTGCTACAGCTTCCCGGAATCTGGACTCTCTGGAAGAGGACCTGGACTTCCTTAGAGACCAGTTCACAACCACCGAAGTCAGTATCCTTAAACAATGGCTAGTGTGTGTGTGTGTGTGTGTGTGTGTGTGTGTATATATTAGGGATGTGCATCTCCATAACTGAGGCCGATGCGATACACATCTCGATGCATAGCCAACGATACGATACATTGTCGATACATATGAAGTAGCTAGCTATTCGATACGATTCACCCCTATTACGATGCAGTGCGATCCGATTTCTATTCGATCCGATTCAACACAATGCGATTCGATGCAGTGGAAAAAATATGATCACATTTATTTCTTTGGTTCAGGCAGACAGCAAATCATAAATTAACTTATGTGTCTTCTGACTTCTAATGCCTCAAGGCCTGTTTCATAAAACAAGTTTACCAAATAGGCCAGGCTTATTTCAGTTAGTCTGACTCATTGTCAAATGATTTGGTTCCATAAAACAAATTTAACAAAGATCAAAATCAGTCACTGTGGCAACTTATGCTGGAAAGCTAACTTGGTCCAGGGCAGGCAAACTGTCAGACTAAGCTGAGCTCCTCTAACATTGAACAGGAATGTAAAGATATTACATACTATCATAGCCATGCAGTCTTTTTCTCTGGTTTTATGACAGATGTACCTTTTATAGTTAGAACAGATAGCATTAGAACTTTACAATCTAACATTGCAAGCATTAAAATCACTAAACTAAAAGTTAAAATCACTAAATTAAAACTACTTTTTAACTGCTATAAGAAACACACATTAAGTAGTAATTAAGTAGTAAGCTTAGTAATTAGGACTGTACTAGCTGACTTTTTTTATTTTATTTACCCATTACAATACTCCCTTTACAGTTACTGCTATCATAAGAATACACCTATATGTAGGTTTAAAATTCTACAAAAGGCACATTTAATGTCCAACAACGAATATTTTAGCAAAATGCATATGTGACTCAGAATTATTGCGCTCTGTCTGTTTAGGCAGCGGGCCAGAGTGAGGAACGGCCGGAGGGCCAGAGTGAGCAGAGGCCGGGGGCTAGAGTGAGGAACTGCCGGTGGGCTTGAGTGAGCAGAGGCCGACAAAAATGCTTTCACAACGAATCACACAGTGCCTTCACGACATGGCGGCGGCAACAATACTACAGCGAAAATAAAAGTTACGCCTTCTTTCTTTGCGTGAACATTTGGGCGGCGTTATGCAAATCTTCCCACATCGTGACGTAGAC